CACAAGTGAATTACCTCAAGAAATCCCTCGAAATCCCTCTCAAAAATCGCCTTAGTCCAAGCTTGAAATGTCAAAAATGATTAAAAATCACGAAACCCTTGAATTAATATTATGTCCAGATGTCTTCGCTTCTGTGGACCATTTACCCGCATCTGCGGTCCCGCGGGCGTGGCAAAAACTTTGCTTCTGTGATGCCCACTCAACCCCCGACCATGCGCACCTGCAGCCAGTTCCTCGCATTTGCGGGTGCGCTTCTGCGAGGTCTCGTTCGCTTCTGCGGAGACTATTACCACATGCCCCCCTTTGCACCTACGACCTATTTCTGCATCTGCGATCTCGCAGGTGCGGACCAAATCATCGCACCTGTGATCACTGCCCAGCTTCCTTCCAGGCTGCTTCTGCGCTCATGATGTCGCTTCTGCGATCACGCACCTATGACCAATTCCATCGCAGGTGTAATCGCACCAGAACTGGAACTCCAGCATTCCCTCAAGTCCAAACTTCGATCTGTTAACCATGCGAACTCCACCCGAGGCCCCCGGGACCTTAATCAAACATACTAATAAATCTTAAAACATGATACGAACTTAGTCGAGGCCTCAAATCATATCAAGCAACATCAAAAACACAAATCGCACCTCAATTCAAGCCTAACAAAAACTAAGAAATTCCAACTTCTACAATCGATGCTGAAACCTATCAAATCACGTCCGATTGACCTCAAATTTTGCACACCAGTCGTAAATGATACAACGGACCTATTCCAACTCCCGAAACCAAAATCCGAATCCAATAACCACAAAGTCAACTCTTGGTCAAACTTCTCAATTTTTCAAACTTCTAATTTTCCAACTTTTGCCATATCAAGCCTAAATCAACTACGGATCTCCAAATTACTAACCGGACACACTCCTAATTCCAAAATCACCCAAAGGAACTATCGGAACCATCAAAACTTCATTCCGGAGCTATTTACATATAAGTCAACATCCGGTCAACCTTTTCAACTTAAGCTTCCAATCTTGAGACTAAGTGTCTCAACTCATTCCGGAATATCCCCGGAACCGAACCAACTACCCCACCAAGTTACATAACGACAATTGCGCATAAAATAAGCAGTAAATGGGGAAACGGGGTTACAACACTCAAAACGATCGGCCGGGTCGTTACATATTCTCTTTCATTCTCAATTGTGTAAATACATTTGAGTTTTTATTGTTATTATCAAAATTATTAAACGATTGAAATTTTCTATCTAAAATTTTTACTATGCTCAATTATTTATTCATCAATTTTAAATGCTTAAACTCTTATCTTATAACTCAAACATATTTTTAGTATAATATTTATATAATTTAAAAAAATATTACTCATCGAAATAAGATACACGCACAACACGCATACTTAAGACTAGTTAGTAGTAGTTTAAATAGAGGTGTGAAGGGATTGCATTAGCTTCAGTAACATTCGATAGATTTGTGCCAAATTTACCATAAAATTATCGACTCAATTATAATTTATCCGGTCTAAAGTCTAATATCATCATATCATAGAAAATATTCTCCTACAATTTATAGTTTATGACTGCAAACTACATTTATATATTTTATTTTATTTTAAATTTCTAAGTAATTACAATTAAAAAAGAATTTTTTTGTTTTGTTTTTTTAAGTTGCTGAGTAGTCGTGACTACTCAGCAATTTATTAAAAAGGCATAAAATATAGTTTGCAGTCGAGAATATTTTTTTAGGATTTATATAGCGTCATTTAATCTTTTCGACTGGTAAATTGATATTAGCCTGTTGATTTTATAATGAATTTGATTCTGCCAAATGCTATTGAAACTAACCCAATCATTTTACTCCTCTGTTTAAGCCATTATGTAACTAGCCTTAATGTACGTGTGTTGGGTGCGTACCTTATTTTGATGAGTAATTTTTTTATATCATATGAATATTATATTAAAACTTATGTGTGAGTTACAAAATAAGAGTTTGAGTACCTGAAATTGATTAATAAATAATTGATCGCACTAAAATTTTTATTAGAATAATTTGTTTGTATAAAAAAAATTGATAATAATAACAAAAACTCAAAAACTTATTTACACAATTGAGTATTAAAGAGAATAAAAGCTTTTAAAGGATGTATTCCGTAAATGTAATAGAAAAATAATTATTAAAATAGATGTATATTTATAATATACATTATATATGCTTGAAAATTTTGCGTAATTATTTTTTTCCAACATTATATGTGCTTGAAAGTTATTTTTTCATTTTTGTACTTTTAAAATTTTATTTATTCTATAGGTAAGTCCATAATATGGAGTAAAAAAAAATTAATATTAAAAAATAAAGGTTCATAATATAGAGGGAAAATAGGTATTTCACCACTAAAAGTCTAAAAATCTAGTTTAATAACTTTTTGAGTGCTATAAAAATAGTTAAGTGATTTTTTTATTCCAAGTAAAATAAACATAACTTTACTAGGTAATTTTAAATAATTGAGTGACAATATGAATAATTTAGTGGGTAATTTCACACGCTTCTAACATTTGAAAATACATTATCTATATAAATAAATGAAAATCACTAATGGCAACATTGATTATCATATTTCCAAGCAGGGACGGCTCAGTGGAGTCGGGGCCTAAAGTTAAATCTTTTAGAGACCTTAAAATATTTAATAAAATTTATAGACATATTTTATTTTATTTTTATTCTTCTAGCCCTTATTTGTAAAGATGCTAATTATTTTTTACGGCAAACTCTTCTAATATTCTCTTCTAATCTATTTAAACCTTCTTGAGATATTTAAAATATAGTTGATAATTTCGCTTTGAAAAAATATCTGTCAGCTAAGGGAACTCTCAGTTATCTTAATTTTTCTATGAGCAATTAGACATGTGAAAAACAATCAAATCTTTTTATTTAAATTTAATATACTAATTATATAATACGATCTTTTTTAATACTTTTATTTCAAGTAAAATTTTAAAATATTAATATTGAGCTAATTAGCTCAAAGTGTGTGCAGAACCATTATAAAAGTGAAAATTAATTCAAGTTGGACTAAATAAGAGAAATGGAACAAGAAGTAGTTAATTTATTTAAGTAAGAACTAGTATATCATATGGAGTAGTACATAATATGAGTACAAGGAGGGTAATTGTTTCTATATTTTGAGGCCTAATTCCTAAAGCAATTGTTTTAATTGCCTTGGGGGTTGAGCCACCCCGGTTTCCAAGGACACTATCGAAGAACTTGGATGTCACTGACTCACTATAACAACTAGCGAATATGAGTGATAGATGGATGTAGGAGAAATTCATACTGTATTAATATTTTTTAAATGGGAAAATACATAGAGAATTATTTTTTTTGGTACGAGGACTCGCATCTGCTACGACCTCTGCCTTTCGGGTGATCACTCTGTGGTGAGCACTTTGTGCGCAATGAGTAATCTTCCCATGTGTAATAGCATGCAAACTATACAGAAAATGTAAATTGTACTAGGCAAGTCATGTGCGACAGGCTCAACCCAGAAAGGATCGAGGGATGATTCGATCCCAACTTATCAATATGGATGACCACCCTTCAAACCAACTAGGCAATCCGAAGGATTTACATAGAGAAGTTGCCCCTTAAATTTGTTTGAAAAAGTTATTTAGTAACAATAAGTTCACTAGCGGCCTATTATCGATCATTGTTTGGAGTGTAACAAATACCACCATATAAAGGATGATGTGGCAGAAGAAATAAACTCGCCTTCTTAAAAGTGCACGAAAGCAAAAACAGAATAAATTAAAAATGGACTAAATTTCACTCGTGAATTTGTAACAAGTATTCCCTTCTGTCCACGATAAGTGATCATTTTTTCTTTTTTTTACTTTGGTCCAAAATAAGTATCTATTTAGATAATCAAGAAGCAATTAATTTTATTTTTTCAAAATTTGCCCTTATTTACATATTTCAATGTGTTAAAGTAACAATTAATTAAGGTAAATTCAGTAAATACATCTTTTTTTTTAGGAATTTGTATTTTTTTAATGGGTATGCCAAAAATAAAATGATCACTTATTGTTGACCGGATGGAGTATTGAATACGTGTGATAGATGGATGCACGAGAAATGCACACTGTATTAACATTTTTTATGGAAAAATACATATATAAGTTGCCCCTTAAATTTGTTTGAATAAGTTATTTACAAACATTAATTTCACTGACGACCTATTATCTATTATTGTTTGAAGTGTAACAAATACCACCATAAAAGATGATGTGGGAGAAGAAGTGAACTCACCTTCTTACAAGTGTGTGAAGGAAAAACAAAATTAAAAAATGGATTAAATTTCAGTCGTGCCATTTTTTCATTTGAACATTATACAATTAACTCCTCTTAATTATTGTTTTAATCTGCAGTTCCCAAACAAGATTGAAAATAAGACCATACCACCGGAAACCCATTTCCGGCGTCAGAACCACACCTCAGCCACAATCTGAGAACCCCACCCATTTAATGTAAGCCATCACAAGATCGAAAATCTTGGTGATAATTTGGCAGAGATGATGATTTGTTTGTGAAAATTCAATATCAAAACCATTATTGTTGGATAGAAACTCCAGCTTCTTGTACTTAGTTGAAATATTTGTAGGGGATGGTAGTAGCTCAGACTTGAAAAGATGATAGTATATTGAAAGATACCTTAACTATGTATATTTTATATAGTATTTAAAGAAAAAACTTGATTTTTAAATTCATATTAAAAATTGGGTGTAATCGTACTCCTAACATTATTAAGTATTATTATTTTCGTGACAAGTATTTTATATAAAACTCTTTTCCTTTTAAAAGTATTTTATAAGTCCATTATTCGTATCAAAATTATTTCTTTCTTAAAATCAAGATCTAGTTAAATATAGCATATTATAAAATGGAAAGAACAGAATAATTAGTTTCCATAAGAAACAATTAAATATCCCGCCACCCAAGTGATATATTCTCGTGGCATTTTCCCCTTATTAGGAATCTGCTCGCGATCCCCAGTTATTGTCTTGACTCTTGCTCTCCCATTTTATTTTACTATTAATAAGTTTCAATTAGTGATCTTTCCCATATGCTTGTTGGATCATAAAAACGCTTTAGCCCACCAACATGAATATATTAATCATTTAATCTTCTTCAAATCATATTTAACTCTGATCCAGCACCAACCTAAACACACTGCCATTTCTGATGAGTGAAAGTGCATTTAATGTCATCTGGGTTTGATTTGAAAGCTACCTGAAGGGACCGTTGACGTTGGATTCAGTGTGGCCTTAAGTGATTGAACCATTTTTTTTTTGTGGGAATTCTGGTGTTATGGAGGCTTATAAGAGATGGATTAGGAGGAATAAAGATTTTGTGCGTCAATTCGATTCTCTTGTCAATGTAAGCCCCCTCTTAGTTACCAATGTTTTCTTTTTCTGTATATATTTGGGTTATTTTTGCGATTATAATGATTTATGGTGCTTTGGGATTTTGTTAAAGTAGCTTCTACTTGTTTATGGTGTAAAAGAATGTACTTTGATTGGCAACAAGAGTGCTAAATTGGAATTAATTTTGATATGGTGGATGAGTGGAGATGATGAATTCAACTTTTGTTCTAAGCCAAAAGGTTTCTTTTGCTCATTTCCTGTTTTTTATTTAAGTTAATGGTAACTCGACAAGGTGGGTTGCTATAATGGTAAGCACCCTCCACTTCCAACCAAGAGGTTGTGAGTTCAAGTCACCCTAAGAGCAAGGTGGGGAGTTCTTGGAGGGAAGGAGGATGCTGAGGGTCATTTTGGAAACTGGGTTGTTGTTGTTGTATTGCACTCAATCACCACAAATTTTTAATTTTTCATGAATCACCACAAAATTTTAACGCTTGGCACCCTGCACCAGGATAAGGGGGTACTTGAATATTAATCACAATTCATTTGCATTGTAGCTCTTATGAGTATGAATCACAATTTAGTGAAAGACAGATAGAGAGGAATGGCCGTACAAGCACAGAACAATCTTCCCAGTGTGCTTGCAATGCCCGCTTCTGCTTCATCCTCTCTCTTTTTCCATTGTTACTCTAAGGAGTTCCTTGTTTGCTCAGGGCAAACATTTGCCAATGATATTGTCTTCATGCCACTACTTTTGCATTCAAACTTGGATGTAAGGTGACACTAGTTCAGATGTTACATTGCCAAATTTACAAGAGATATCATAGTTTCGTCGTTCTCCCTTATATAGTCATGGATTTTCCATATTTGTTTATATCCTTTCATTGTTAAAAATTATTTATATTACTTTTTTCCTTCAAATACTGGACCTACTGGCTGTTGCCTGCATAGCTTCCATCATACTTGACCGAGATAATATATGGTTATCAACAGGATGAGTATATATAATAACTGTTTCCTCATCTTGTTTTGAATGTTCAGAATTTGACATGGTTCCTCCCAGATGAGTTTGCTGAATCAGAAATCGGGCCAGAAGCAGGTATTGTGAAATTTTGGTAACAGTATTCTTCTGCTTTTAGAACAGTCAGAATATCTTTCTAAACTCTCTTCTTCTATGTTGAATTTAGGATCACCCTTTTCCATGTTGGTTTCGTTATGTCAAAAATTGCTACTTTAAAATTGAAGTAATGGCTTTATTACAAAAGTTTTCCTTGCTTAATATCTCATTTTCCTTTGGGGTATACCTAATGAGAAAAATGAATACGAATTTACTTGAAAGGAAAAAAAGACTTTCATTTAGCAGTTTTACTTTGCTACCAATGTTTTCTATCCTGAACTGTGTGTTCTTTGCAGTATCATCCACCGTAGGAATGATTACTACCATGAATGAATACATAATAGAGACAAGTCCAACCGATGAGCATACGAGATGTGCAGAGTCTTCTTTTGTTCCTTTATCATTGTGCCTTACTTTGCTGAAAGACTTGGAGACAACGATTGAGGTTGTGGCTGAGCAACTCTATGGTGAAAAGAACAAATGGAATTTGATTGCTGTTACTGAGGCTGTCAAGTAAGTGTCTCAACTACTTATTCATACTCCAAAAGATTCATTTGGTATTTTATGACTAAATATTTGCACTATTATTTTGCCTTTTCAGGGCTTGTATTAGGCTGGTTATCTTCAGGAAGACTGAGTACAAAATGCTTTTGCAAGGAGGGGAGACTGAAATTGCAGAAAATGATTCTGATTCTTTAAGTCCCCAAGAAACGAAGAGGCGGCTTGATAAGCCTAGACGGAATGGAGAGTCTGGTATCTCAAATGGGCAGAACCCTGGGAATCTTCAAGGTAGGGCAATATCCGCTTTGAGCAGCTTTGGCAAGAATGCGATAATGGAGCACCCTCAGGCAATAATGGAACCTCCAAGTAATTGTTGTTAGCTTTCAGCTAAATTCAGGTGATCTGATTGTATGTTCTCACTTTTCTGTTAGTAATATTTTCTGAAATATTTTTATAGGTAAAGTAGTTGAGAAACCTAGTCTACAGACTTTCTTATCTGAGAAAGGTATTCTTGGAAGCTTCTTTGTGACGGGGGAGATTTTCTTCATCATAAGGCCTCTTATTTATGTACTATTGATGAGGAAATATGGGACACGGTCGTGGTTTCCCTGGTGCATTTCACTGGCTTTGGACCTAATTGGGAATAGCATTCTCTCAGTTACATTGATGTCTCAAAATAGCGGGAACAACCATCGACTTCAGTTTTCTGACTCTGAGAAAGATGAGGTTAGGATACTTCAGAATTTCAGCAATCTTTTTTTCTCCTCTTATGGAATCTAAGTTCACTTTACTGACCCTTACATTTCATCTCTGGCCATACCCTTCTCACATATAAGCTAACGTGGCACTTGATGCCTCCTTGAATTAACAGCATTTGTTCTTTAACGTTTTCCTCATCTTTTTCCCCTGTTGGATCTAATTCTATAGTCTGGTTGTGTGCCTTGAATGTAGTTCCTTCTTGAACTTGACTGTGCCTTATTTCTATCTTAATTATATCAGTGTCTTATATGTCTCCTTCTCTGGCTTATATAATACACTCCACCCCCATCGCACACTTTTTTTGCGTGAAATCCAGTAATTTACCAACTATGGTAATGAATCCTGTTAAATTCTTTTCTATTTTGCTGAAAGAAAATGATTTTGTTAAACATTCTATGCAGTTAAAAAGGCGAAGAATGTTATGGGCATTGTACCTCATGCGAGATCCATTTTTTACCAAGTATACCAGGTAATTGTGTTCTTTGTTATTACATATGCTTCATATAGTTATGGTATTACTAACTAATCCCTTCAGATAAAATTTGGAATAAAGTGGAATGATGCTAATGCTATCAGTTATTATTGCAGGCAAAGACTTGAAAGCACTCAAAGGCTAGTGCAACCTATTCCCATTCTTGGATTTGTTGCAGGTATGTTTGAAGATATTCGTGAGTTCAATTTTTGCCTTCTATTTTCACTATATTTTGACATTGACTGCTCTTGAAATGCAGAAAAATTAATTGAAATTCTTATTGGAGTCCAGACGCGTTACACATACATATCTGGTTCATAACAGGGAAGCTATGAGGAGAAACTTGTGTAATTTGTAGGCTCATCTACATTAATATTTGCAATCAATCTCTTTATTCCTTTTCTTGATGATTTGGTATTGAAGCGTAGTTGATTGATTTTCTTTACTTGGGGTGGGAGGTTTAAGGTTTTGGAGGACTTTTACTATACATCTACGTTGTCTTGGTGGGCTTCTGTCTCTTTCTTCCCAACCCCACCTGACTCGGTGTATGTTCCAAAATATTTAAAGTATATTAAACCTTTTTCAAAAGTTATTAGAGAGATCAATGATTCAACTACTGCATCTAAGCCTTGAATGTAAAGATCAGGACTATCTAATACTGAAGCTTGATCTAAATGCTCGAACTGAAATACTCACATAATTGGGACAGTACTCTTTTTTAGAGGTCAGGCCAATAAATATAGATTCTAACAAGTAACATGTATGATGTGTTGGAATTCAAATACAGTGGAGACCCAATATGCTACTAATCATTTAGGACATGAGAAACTAGCAGTGGGATTTCGTAGAAAGCTTCTGGGGAAATTTGAGACTTGTCCTTCCTTTTTTTGGTTAAAGAAACACAGAAATGTTGCTTTTATATCAAATCAAAACATCTAGAAAACACAAACACAATCAAAATGTATTTATTGTTTCGAATCAAACAAAATCAAATCATAAATTCAAAATAGCCGGCTAACATTTGAATATTACCGTTTCGACTTTCTTTTATTCATAGTGTGGTTTTTGAGAGATATACTAACCGTCGTTAATATGTTCAACTTTTTTCTATAATCATTTTCAGCTTTTGCCATTTTCAAAAGGTAAAATTATCATTTAACTGTTCAACTTTTTACCTACTAGGTTGGATTTAACTCTCTGAAAGTCTGATTTAAAGTTCTATAAACTACGCTAATAGGTTACAAAATTAGATTCTACGCACAAGTGAAATAATTTTCCCCTGCGCACCCAAGTACTCGCAAAAGTTCAGATCACAATGATGAAGGTTGAGAACTAAAACTAGTATCAGCTGGAGGCCAAACCAGGTTGCCCTCTTATCACCTTTTGCAGGGATTCCGAGAAAATTCAGTCCCCTATCTTCTTCTATAACAAGTGCAGGATTTAAGGGTGGCAATTTGAGTCCAAACTCATCCAACCCGTCCAGAGATTAATAGGTTGGACTACAATATTTTAGCTCATGGGTCTATTTGGGCTGAACTCAAGTTAACCCATTATTTTTTATAGCTCATTCTGACCTATTAAGTAGCTCAAATACAACTCATGAAACTCACTCCAAAACAAAAAGATCCCAACCCAACTTATCCAGAAATTTACTACTTAGTTGCCACGACGTTAGTTTTTGTATCTAAGTTTAAAAATGAGAATCAAGGTATTTAAGTTTTAGGGTGTGTTTGCTATGATAGAAAATATTTTCCGAAAAATATTTTCCCATTTGAAAAATTCTTTCTGCAGCACCTACCCACCCCCACCCGTAAATTTTTTTTTTTATGGATTTTTAATTCGGCAAAGGGCCAAATATACCCCTGTACTTTCGAAAATGGTCTAAGAATACCCTTCGTTATACTATTGGGTCATATATACCCCTCCCGGCATACTTTGGAACAAATATACCCTTATTTTGGATAGAGTGCCACGTGGCAGCGCACCAGATGAACGACCCATTTTTTTTTTTACCCGATCCGTTTTAAAAAACCCATCATCCGACCCGTTTTAAAATTCAGTTTTTTTAAAGCATATATTTTGTAAAAACTAGAATTTCTTTTTTGTAAAAACTAAAAGAAAAAAAAAAGAATTTGCAAAATATATATTTTTAAGTTTTTTCAGTTTTTTTAAAGTATTTTTTGTTTTTGTAAAAACTGAAGAAAAAAAAGATTTTGCAAAATATTTTCTTTTTTTTAAACTAATGCATATGTAGTCCACTACTTTAGGAGAGTTTTTTTTTTTTCAGTTTCTACAAAAAGAAATACTTAAAAAAAACTGAAAAAACTTAAAGCATATATTTTGTAAAAATTGGAAAAAAAAATGTAAAAACTAAAAAAAAAAAGAAAGAAATTTGCAAAATATATATTTTTAAGTTTTTACAAAAAAATACTTTAAAAAACTGAAAAAACTGAAATATATATATTTTGCAAATTCTTTTTTTTCTTTCAGTTTTTACAAAATATATATTTTTCAGTTTTGTTTTTCTGTTTCTACAAAAAACAAAAAAAAAACAGTTTTTACAAAAAAAAAAAACTTTAAAAAAAACTTAAAAATATATATTTTGCAAATTCCTTTTTTTCAGTTTTTACAAAAAAAAAAAAAAAACAATCCAGTTTTTACAAAATATATGCTTTAAAAAACTGAAAAAACTGAAATATATATATTTTGCAAATTCCTTTTTTTCAGTTTTTACAAAAAAAAAAAAAAAACAATCCAGTTTTTACAAAATATATGCTTTAAAAAACTGAAAAAATTGAATTTTAAAACGGGTCGGATGGTGAGTTTTTAAAACAGATCGGGTAAAAAAATAAATAAATGGATCGTTTTCATCTAGTGCTGCCACGTGGCACTCCATCCAAAATAAGGTATATTTGTTCCAAAGTATGACGGAAAGGGTATATATGACCAAATAGTATAACAAGGAATATTCTTAGACCATTTTCGAAAGTGGAGGGGCATATTTAGCCCTTTGCCGTTTTAATTTTCTGTTTTTTCTTTTTTCTGCACCACCCACCCACCACCAACCCCCCAACCCCAAAAATAAAATTTTACTCTTTCTTTTGTATTTTCAATTTTCTATTTTTTCGATTTTCTGTACCATCCACCCCTCAATTTTATTAAGGTTCGGGCACTAACACCAAAAATTCAATGACATAAGATCAAAATAGCTATATTGAACAAAGAGCTGAATATTTGAAACAAACACTATAATTTTCACTGTCTGCCTCAGCAACGTTTACCAAGAAACTTAGGTTCTAACAAAATCTGTAAGTAGACAAGAAACTTCCTAAAATACGCTCAAGGGAACAGCTGGAAAATGAGACAACTCCGGGCTCTGAATTCTTTCGATTCTTCTAATCGAAAAGACTGAAGCCCATGTCCTGTAAAAGAAATTCCAGGAAAACACATAAGCAGATGAGAGGAAATAAAGGTAAAAGGAAGCAGTGATCAACTTAAAAACAACAAGTTCTTAATATTAGGAGAGTATTCATACATCATCTGACTCCTCTTTCTCTTCCACTTTCTTTTCTTCCTTCTTCTCCTCGGCAGCAGGTGCAGCAGCAGCGCCGCCTGTAGGTGCAGCGACTGCAACAGCACCACCACCGGCTGGTACTGAAGCCAACTTTTCTCTGCCAGCAGCAATCAGCTCAGTGATATCCTTGCCCTCAACTTGGGAGAGGAGCAGTTCAATCCTATCATCATCAGCCTCAGCTCCAACTGCAGCACACATGACACATGTATTCCAAATATGAATTCGAATTGAACCACCACACACCAACAGAAGCATACGACAGTAAATTACAGTTACGCATAACAAGACTAAACAATTTATTATGTTGCATCAACTAAATTACACATTATCCGTATTAACTGCTCAAGACATTTCAAAAAACCAATGCAATCTGAATTCACTTGTTACGTACCATCAACTACTTTAGAAAACATCAATTTAAGACACTTAATATAGAACAAAATCTAGAACAATATTCAGCAGCATCAACTGAATTAGATAGCATCCATTTAAGACAGTTGAACAAAAACTTGATAGCAAAATCAATTATTGCATTGTTTCTTATGCAAGAAAAATAACAATTATAGTACTGCTGCCTCTGGACACCTCAGGCAGGTACGACAACAGGATAAAAATTAATTCTCATTGTTACAGGTTAATAGCAGTAAATAGGCATCATCCTTGCTCCATTTCTTTTGAAGTCCATGGAAACAAAAGGCAAAAACAAAGGTAGTGAAACCAAGATTTTACCCCATTTATTCACAATTCTAATAGCCACTTGAATTTTTTTCATTAAACCTGATAGCTTGAAACAGTAAGCAAAGAAAGTGTTTAACTTCATAAAATTCCCCAACCTCTTCCTCAAAGGGGGCAGATAATACATCCATCCCAATTTATGTGACTCTTTACATCCTAGCACGTAAATCCCAAAATATTTAACACTAGTTCACTAATAAAATATTCTACTAAGTAGTATATATAACTTTCAAATATTTCAACATTTCAAATAATCCAGCAATTCAAGCTTTGGAAATTTTCTCTATCAAAATATTTTTCACCATTACTCTAATATTTTCTTCCACTACTCCTAATAATATAAACAAGTCAAATTAACATATTAAACTCAACCTCCAATCAAACTCATTGAGGAAGCTACAAACTAGTACTTCTCAGAAAAGCTCAAGATATTTTTTGCGTTTAAGCTAAATTGGCGAAATGCAAAATAAAATGTGCTACTTCGGGATACCCACCCGCAGATGTATTTAGTCATGTAAATACTTAAACCAATTGCATACATTTATACTTATAAATAACTATACGGATCAAATGCTATAAAAGTAATAAAAATTGCAACATATTCAGGATCGGTATGCAAAAAAATCAATGACACGGAAAATATGTACAAGAAAGAAAAGGCATTCTTAAGGAGTTATAGGGCGTACCAGATCCAAGGATGTTCTTCAAATCTTTAGCCTTAGGGCAGGAGTTGCCACCCAATACGGCCAACAAGTAAGCTGCGATTACCTTCATTTCTCTTCGCTGTTAAAAAATTAACACAAAACAAACAACATTTTCAGATACAAATCATTGGAATTAAGAAAACAAACAAACAACAGACAACAAAAATAAGAGAAAGAGTACCTAGGAGATCTCGAAGCGACGAAAACCTTCAATGGCGGTTCTTAGCTGCTGCTCTTAGGGTTTTGAAGAAAGGGGGGAGCATAAGAATATATAGTTAGGGTTTTTCAGCATTCTATGCGGAGTGGATTATTCTATTTTACTTTAATACCCTTGGTTTTTGCTTAGATTTTCTTAATTGGTCAGGAAACTATTCTTTTTTTTCTTTTCCCATCC